AAACCGTAGGATTTTCTCAAACATTTTGTTGGTTTAACAATAGTAACTAGTTCAAGCTAAATTATGCCTTGATACTGGTGACTGGCCAATAACTAGTACAAGAAACCGGAAAAACACTAATTTGTTTTACCTGATTATGTTCAAAATTTTACATTGATTCTAATTCTGGTTAATTTAGAAAATCTATGTAAAGGTACAGAATTTAACCACAACACAAGACATCTTTTAAAATAAGTGCATAAAATGTATTTTTTTTATTGGCATTTGTGTTGAATGCAACTATTTTCCCCTCTTGGAATTTTCTACAAATCCTCATAAAAGTACACATGACCCTGTAAATGCTTAACAAAATGCATGTGTAATTTTACGCCCCTGGTACATATTCAAATAGCAATCAACTCTTCTGCAGCACCTATCCAGGTGACTGAGGCACACGGTGTACTGAAACTGTGTGTCAGCGGAACAGAAAGTATCGAGCCTCAACAGAGGATATTGATGTGGTAACAAGTGTTCTCATCTGCATCACCTGATAAGCAATCGCTTATATATTCTATGCATGACTTCCCAAACTGTGATCTTCACCTATAAGTTCACCCAAGCAGTTCTGTTCACCAACTGCACAGAAAGTAGTAAAAAAATATAAATAAACCAAGAAATGTAGCTTTAAAAAGCGCGTCTCTTTGTGCCATTTGAAAAAGATTCCATCATACATCTTAGGTTCTTTCTAACTTATCAATTCGACAACCAAACAGAACATAAAGACAAAGATGATTCTTCATTTAATATTTCTAATGTGTGGTTAATTAGATCATTGTTAATTTAAAAATGTTTTGTCACCTATTGAATCCATGAAAGATACCATTTATAATTATAATTGGCAGTATTCAATCAGCAAGCCTCTTGTCATTATTCATAACACCTTTTGCACTTTCAGAACCAGTTTTAACCACAAACGCATACTGTTAAGTTTCCCCGCTGAGGCTCCATTTTGTAAGATAGGCTTGTCAAAACTGAAGACCTGACATTGATTTTACTACAGAAATTCTATTATGTTCAGACATGTAAACACAGGACACCCAAAGGTCGCTTCAAACCAGTTTCACTGACTTAATCTTTGGTTAAAAAAAATTAAAAATGACAAGATATGTTCCTCTGTATTTTAAAACATTCACATGACAGTCTTGACCTTTCACCTCATTTTTTTAAAGGAAGCAAGAGATTTTTCTGCAGAGACCGGTTTAGCCCGAATGCAAGCGTTTTGGCAAGAGAAGGATCTTGAATCTGTTTGTACAACTGAGCTTCGACAAAAAGATCTTTTCAAAATGCTCCAAGGCTTATAACATCCCTTGTTTCATCTCTAATAATATAACCGTCTTGAATGTATCGTTAGGTTACAGCTTTATACCAGCTTTAATCAAGGCGTTCCCTCTCAGATGGATTAAAGGATCTCCACAGTGCTTGTTGTTTCATGTGCTGCCATCGCGTACAGACTTAGTAAGACAAAAAACTAGTTGGAGTTGGCAGACAGGTCTCCCTTTTTAAAAGCTGCCTCCGAAGCTAGTCATGACTTGAACAATAGGACGTTGTTTTGCTTGTCAGGCTGGGAGGAATGCTCACCATTCATTGGTATGCCATCAGGCTATTACCCTCACATACGTCAGTAGCCAAGTGTTTTCCTCGGTTAGCTTGGAAGATACCAGTAAATAAGAATCACTGGAACTGATTTATTGGCTTGAGCATTTAACAAAAAGGTGTTGTCAAGTTCCTGCAAAATGAGTCATGCAACCAGGGGAGAGATAAAATTTCTTACATTTCCTTGTATTTTATTTTCATACACAACTGTAAAGTTTAAAGACTTAAAATTAAGGGAAACTCATTATCATTCAAATAACTGCAATGTTTTTGATGCTTCTTTTGCTGTTCAGCATACTAAACATCAATCCCAGATGATACCCTGGAGCTAAAAGAAAAAAGCATTTATCTTGCAAACATGGTTAGGATTTTTTTTTTAAACAACCAGCCTTATTAGATAATCCATTCTATAGAAACTACAAAACTGTTGACTGTGCTCAAAAGATGAAACTGAGGCCGGAAACTGGTGCAGCACAGCAGGTTCCTAAAAGACTACGTCTGGTAAAACAAGCGGGCAAGAGAAGCTGACTCACACAGTAGGCAATGCATTCCCGTAAGGAAACCAGGCAGATCAGCTGCACTGAAACAATATCAAGTTTCTAAAACTCTGATCAATAATGCCAGTTTTCTTGGCTTAGTATTGTATCTGCTGTAAATAGGTCTCATGTGTACTTTCATGCAAAAATACTAAGAGTAAAAACACATTCAAATGGTTTCATAGGAGTTTCATCTCCTTTTAAAACATATGTAAAAACTCGTTGTTTAACAAAGCTTTTTTTACACATTCATTGATTTGTGTAATTTTATGCACATTAATTTGCTAATTTAAATGAACAAATTGTCTTATTTTGAAAGGTTAACCAAGATAGCTTGGTATGAATGAAATACTTGCATAACTGCTATAGTTTTCTTTAGTGCATGTACCGGTATATTTTACTGATAGTTCTGGGAGATAGCACCTAAAAGGCATGGTATCAGTGTTATTTTTAATTCATTTTATTTTTTATGTTTAATTTAAGGTTTTTACTCCCACCCACTCCAACCTATTGCTACACACTACTGGTTGCTTGCTTACAGGGAAGACATATTTGTGTTTCAAGAGTTTTTTCTAAGAAAATCAGTCTTCCGAATGCTGTTTTAGAACCATTCTGCAAAGTGTATTAAACAGTCTACTGCTGCCAGATAGCCCCTAATTTAACCTTTTTATTTTATCTAGAGCAAAAGAAGTTTACTGTTATTTATAATGTGTTTATTGAAGTCTACGCATCAAAACTAAAATAACCAATGAATGTCATACATGTGTTATTGGAGCTGTAGTAAATAATGTGTTTTGTAGATAGTAATTGCAGAATTAGATATTGCTTTTAAATGGAATGAAGTCATATAATTACTAATTATGTTGATGACTCAAAGTACTTCAGAGCCACATTAACTTAATCATACATATTAATTTATATATATTCACAGATCAGTAGGCAATTTAGTGTTAAGGCTCCTGCAAGGGCTGACCAAGATGATAAGGAGGAAACTGGAGTCAAACTCAAAAGTTTCACCTTGCAAGAAGACTACAACTTTGGCAGTCAACTGTCACATCCCATGCATTTTCATTTTAATCTGTTGTATTTTTTTACTCAGGGTTGTGGTCAGAAACAATCCATTAACCTGGCCCTAGTTTACATTTGGTTAGGAATTGTAAAGTCAGTTTTTGTGAGAATAGCTTCACTGCAAATCTAGAAATAAGTAAAAATTCTCTAAATTAAGTGTACTGGTATTCACTCTTAATTTGAGTAGGTAAATGAGTTTGCCAATGGAATGAGTAATTTTACTCTTAAAATAAGATAATTAGATAATATGCACTTGAAATAAGACAATGCAATTGTGTTTTCTTATTTTAAGTGTAAATTGTCTTGTTCCATTGGCAGAATGTCTCTTTTACCTCCTAAATTCAAGAACAAATGTACTTATTTTAAGAAAAAAATTATTTATCTAGATTTAGATTTTTTGCAGTGTTATATTTTTGGTCTTTAAGTTTTTTGGTGCAATAACTTGATTTTCACATTTCTAAACCAAAGATCCTATGTTAAAGGTATAATGAAAAAGCTGTTTACTATACAGATAATCACTGTGTGGTAAAAACAATATGTTCCAAACCCTACAAAAATAATGACCTACATAATTTTTTTCCGCTCTTTAAGGAGAAATATTAAATTTATTATGAATTACTTTATATAAATATATATATATATATATATATATATATATATATATATATATATATATATATATATATATATATATATATATATATATATATATATATATATATATATATATATATATATATATATATATTTATATATATATATATATATATATATATATATATATATATATATATATACACATGGGCTGAAAAAAATCTATGCAATTAATTTTGATTAATTAATTACTGAAGTTATCGTCAACTAATTTGGTAATCAATTAATTGTTAACTGAAGTATAGGGACAGTGAAATATACCTTTAGCTGACAGAGGAACCACTTAGAGCAGAAATTATATCAAAATTGTAAAAAAAAAATAAATAAATAAACATTTTGCATTTCACATTTTTTTTAAAGTCTCTGTGTTTCAATATGTTCTATCTAGAACTCCTTAAGTGGGAAAGTTAGAGTTTCACCTGGTTTGCTTTCTTAAAGAATCTTCTTTAAGGAACCTTTGGCTATCCAATCATAATCGAAAAAATTATCGACAGATTAATGTATTTGCAAAAATAATCATTACATGAAGTCCTAATATATATCTAACTTAGTCAGCTAAATAACATGCAGCTGTCCCTTTGCACATCTCTGATGTTGCTGCTATTTTTAAATATCCATTACTTCAAAATGTCCATAGCTGTACATTGGTTATTTATTCTCCAGGGACACAATATTTTTATTGTTAAAACACTTTACAAAAGAGTATTTTATTGTTTATCTTTTAACTCTTCACTTTTATGTTACTCTTATGCATTCTGCTAAGGTCCATACTTGTCCATTAGCAAAGTTTCTCTTTTCTAATTTTATATATTTTTTTAGATTATATTTGATTAACTTTTATTGCATATAATGGTGTTTGTATTTCTGCTTTTTTGCAGCACTTTGGTCCTGTCAGTTTTTAGAATACTATATAGATAAATTGTATATAAAACACTTATAAATGTGTATTTTGTTTTTAGTGAATATGTAGTTTTGTTGCATTATGACATTGTCATTCTGTGATCTCCACACACTGCAGCTCTGTCTGCGGCCACCAGACGACTCTGTCTACGTGCGCTAGAAGCGAAGCCCCGCCCACTGGGAGGCCGGGAGGCGGGGCCTCTCGGTGCGGAGCTGGGGCAGTCGGGCAGAGCGTCTCTCGCTGCGGCTCTGCTTACTTCTATTGTCGGTTGGCTGCCCCTCTGCGCCTATTTTCTCCCCTGTCCCGCACAAGGATACAAAGAGAGCAGACGGTGGCATGAGAGCAACGAAGAAAAGGGGGAGCCAGGGATCTGGACTCGGATACCGCTTCATGTACTAGCTTGTTTTCTACGGACTGGATCCGGAGCTTCGCCCGATGTACACACTGGATTTTGATCCGCAAAGAGTGTCGCGAACGGGGGGAGAGGGTTGGAGTTTATTGTGCAGGTAGGGTATTGTCCGTTTTTATCGTCCGGGATTCAATAAATATCGCCTGAGAAAGGCTAATTGACATAGCAGCTCAGACGGTCCTCTTTTATTTTTTCTTTTGTTCTTTTAAACCCTGCACGCGCGCAGCTTCTAATGCTAACCAGTAGAGAGCTGTTGGGGTTTTTTTCGGCTATGGAGTGAAATTTCCTCAGTGTTTCGTAGCTGGCTTCCTCCTGGATGTGTCAGCTGGAGCCTACGTGCGAACTTGCTCGGGCAGTGATGCAAAAAGCGGCACGTAGTCGGCAGGGGCCGAGCGTATCGGACTCCTGATCAAAATATAGTCCCAGGAGAGGTGGGGGGGTAAACTTCTGATTTTATCGCTCCTGTGCGGATACGCAGCTGTAATTTGCAGGCATGACGTTATAGACCAAGAGGACTTAACGAAAAAAAAAAAGAGAGACGTGTTCTCGTGTGTCATGTTTAATCTGAGGATCAACTTCCCTGCAGCGGGATTAGGTAATATTTTTCCGCCTCGATTGGTCAACCTTTTCCTGCTTTCGGAGCAAGAATCGGTGTAACAGATTGTTGGGAAGAAGTGATGTGATCTGCTTTTTTTTTTTAGTATGCCTGGTCAGACTGGGATGATTTTCTGTAGGTGTTTCGATTCAGTTTTTAGACGGTGGAGGTTTTCCTTCCCAGGAAAGGAAAGCCAGGGAGTGTTCAACGGAATATTAATCAGTGCGATGACTTCGCATTGGAAACTGAGATTATAGGATTATGGCTGTTATCTTTGATGACTACTTCATTCTCTCTTTCCCTTCCAGGACTGTCCGGGTTTAGCAGGAGGACATGGATAAAACTTTGCACATTCTCCAGAAATCCGCAGACCATGTGCCTGCTGGGATCCCTCTGGATGTGAGTCTGAATATGGACGAAGGAGAGGATTTCACGGAACAACCGATCGTGGGGCTTTCGGACAAAATACCTCTGGTGAAACCTTATTTTAGGAAAAAACAGAGAAAGTTGGACGCGAAATCCATCCAACGCGCCCTGGACCCGATACTGAGTAGCTTGTTGAGCTCAGATACTCTGGTGTCCGGGGATGAGGTGTTTGTCCCCCGCAGTCAGCCTGGCAGGACTCCGGGCACTCTGTGCGCGGCGGCGGTGGTGAAGCAGAGCTGTGTGGGGCAAGTGTGCCTTAAAGACCCCGGAGCCGCAGAAGATGCCAACCGGGACGTAGATGTGGACATAGCTGATACTACTGCGGAGCTAGAGGAAACCGAGAGACCCCAGCTGAAAGGGAGCACAGAGACAATCAGCCCCCCAGAAAGGGATATACCCCCCATAGTCGCACCCCAGGCTCCCCATCAGGAGGGGACCATCTTAAAAAACAAAGACCTACTAACCTCTGGCACTAAAAGCGTCCCAGTGAAGGACTCCTCTACAACCCAGGACCCCCACTCCCAGCTCCTGCAGCCAGACAAAGGGGTCCTGTTTCAGAATAAAAGCGAAGAGGCCTCCCTGGATCTGGTGTTTGAGCTGCTCACTCAGCTCCAGTATCACACGCACCAGTCGGACTCTGTAGACATCTGTGTGGATTTCCTCCAGGGACGGTGTGTTTTTGGGAACGACTGTGCCCACCACCACACCGTCTTGCCCTACCACTGGCAGATCCGCAGGAGCAGCACCCAGACATGGCAGAGCATAGCAGACGATGCCCAGGAGCAGCTGGAGAGACTGTACTGCAACCCAGACCAGGAGCAAGTCAGACTCAAATATCAGTAAGTGTCTACACAGGAACTATGTTATTCCATTATATTAGATGTTTTATGCTGCTTTAATAGCAAATCATCTCTAAATAATTGATTCCATCACATCTACTTATAGTCATTTATAAAGCCATGTAGTTTTAGTGATATTTTTGTGTTTAGGCAGGTGACAAACATCAGCCTGTTCCTTAATGGACACACCAGCTGTAGGTTTTAAACCAAACAGGTTATCTGGGAAGGAGACATGGGTGGTGCTCCTTAAGTTTCCACACAACGAACTGCATGTTTCGCAACAGGAAACATTTCCAAGCATCTGAATTTGTCTCCTTTTAAAAGCAAATGTGGTTGTTTTCTTTCAGCCATCTTGAACTGCAGTGTGCAGCAACAGGCAGGGGCGGGGCAAAGTTTTTTACCCAATGTCATACAGCTAGAGAAAACTAGAAACAGTGTAAACACCTTTTTTTTCTTTTAATCCTCTACATTCATGTAAATGTGTATTGATTTGGTTGCAGCATATATAGGTATAAAAGCAGCTCCCTTGCTGTGTGCAGCAGTATGCAGTATATCCCCTGGTGGTAATGATAAATAGGTATTTGCGACATAGCAACAGCAGTGCGGAAAGCTCATAGGCTGCCTGTAAATTGTCAGGCTTGTTGGAAACCGTAAACCTCAGGCTCAGTTCCCTCTTTGGTTTCACCGCTGGCGACAAACTGAAAGCATCAGCTCCCCAGCTGTTGTGCTGACGGCCATTAGTAGATGCACGTTATCGCTTGTGCTCAGACCTCTCTTGTCCCTTGCAGTTAATGTTGGTATCATGCTATCTGTGTCCTGCACTCTCCTTCTCCCAACCCCCCCTAAAAATCGAGCTCTATGATTGGCTGGGGAGGGTTCCTGCCAAAGCACAATTTACAAGCCGTCATGAACTTTCCTGACCCCCCCTCCTCCTGGTCAGTGTCTAGTCTCCCTTTGCAGTTGTCCCCTCCTGCACAATGCAGTGCACATTTGCCCTCATGATTACACGCACTTTGGCGTGCAGAGGCTCGCACGAACTGGGTTCACAGGTAAACTGTGTGGCTTGCATTGCTCACACGCATGCATGCATTTTAGTAGATGAAGATTAACCTTTTACTCTCTCACACCCTTAAGGAAGACAGAACTTTAATACAAGCTCTTGACAAACCTCCAGCAGCAGTGACACGGAGGAGCATGTGCTTCCCGTAAAACTGCTGCACACACAAGCAAACAATGGGGGCCGCTCTGCATGACTCTGACCTTATTCTAAACACGAGTTTCTTTATTAACCATGTGGTCCCACTCACAGGAATGTTTTGTTTTTATTAGCATAGTCAGTGATCGATTATTTCACCACTATCTCCTCAGTTGTTTGGTTCCTATCTGGCAGCTTTGTTTCTTTTTTCTTTTCTTTTTTTTATTATTATCATAAAGTTATCTACCTTTTTGCATTTTCATCTATGAGTTTGACTTGTTGGTTCATGTTTCCAGCTGCAGCTTTATTCAAAATGTGTTGCCACATACAGGATGTGCACCCGGATTCTTTTGACCTTTTTGGTTTGTGAAAGTCTCATAGTCACTCAGGCATATGGTTTGGTGTCATGAACTACCGGTGTGGATGAGAAAATCCCAGAGAAAAAAAGCTTTGATTTTATTATAATCTGGGAGGAATAATATAGATTTAAAATATTATCACAATGTTTTTTTATTTGTATTAAGTGTAGGAACAATAAAATTAGCGATTTAAGTGTATTTTGAAGTGCCTTACACTGCTCACGAATTAAAGCTCATGGTTATACACTAGGCTTCTTGAGTACAAGAGTTACACACACCACTCATTTTCCTTAAGGTTAGACAGGCCAGTTATGAGATTTTTAACAAAAATATGAATTTTTGTCTCTGTTATGGGATTCTGACGGGATTGAGAACTTTGAAGCTGATAATTACAAAGATATAAGCACATTTATACATATAATCCTCATTTTACTATCAAACTAATTATTTCCTCCATTATACCGTAGAGGTGTTGAAACATCAATGCATAGATGTAAATTGGTATTGGTATTTGCTTTATATATTATGCCTGACTGGAAAATAAGGCACAGTTTGTTACTTTCATTTAAAATTGAGTTTTTTTCAGTCAGCTTACCTGCAGTACCAAGCAACAGTTTGGATTTTTTGTGAAAAGACAGAGCAACAGTTCAGAGCATTTATTATCAGATGAAGTATCAGGTCAGGTAATTATCTGTAGCCTAGATCTCCTTCATGTTCAAAGGTTCTCTGCTTTCATTCGCACAGCTGTTTCATCCACTGATAGCGTTTATTTTTGTAGTATTTTCGATTAACTCTACCTGTTGGGGGGTTTGTTGGATTATTCCTGCTGGATCCCTGCATTGCTCCTCTTTGGGGAATTTGTCAGTGAGTTTCTACATTTCCTGAAGCGTTCAAGCTGTGTGGTGTAACCTTAGTTCTCCCTTTGATCAGTTTTTCTGTGATGTGAAGACCTGAGATAGGTTTCCTGAAACAAGCCGCTTGGTTTAAGTGAAATGCAGGAGAGCACATTGGGGCGAGGCAACCAAGGCCTGTTTTACTGTGCAGCAGCATGAGAGGAGTGGATAGGAAAAAAAAAAAAAAATCTGCATCTGGTTAAGCATTGCATTGTTGCACGTAGGCTAGAGCGTGCATCCGGCTCTGAGGTTTTTCCCAGTCTGTGAGTGATCCATCAACACACGTAATCCCATCCATGTGAAGAGCAGGGATGGTAGTTCGACTAATCCTCATTATACATGAAGTCAGCAGGAAGAAAGAAAGCTGCAGTCATCGCTAAAAAAAAGTTAGATTGCAGTAATCCTCTGTCTCACAATCAAGTTATCTGCTGTTATGCTGATTTAAACTATTAGTTTCACGTTAAAAAATTTTTTTTCTAAACCCTCCACCTCGTCTCCTGTATACCCAGGCTGGTTTATTGAAATAAAACCAGCCTCGGGTCAACAGAAGCTGACAGGAAGAGAATACATGAGGCTGAGTTTTTACATAGCCACATTCATCATGGGTGTGTTTTTGTGAGCGAGGGAGCGTTGGAGACAGATTCTTTTGTCAGCCATGTGATAAAAGCCTTGCTTGTCATTAACTGACATAAAGAGTCACTGAGCACCAAGGGCAGAGCGACCTGACACCAAGGTGTGTGCGCCAGTGTGTCTTTAAGTTTATATCGCCTGGGGTTTCCATGTTACCTCGTTACCTTGAATAAAATGGAAAAATATAATAACAATCCCGGATGGGTGTGTTTCATACAATCTGGTTTGTGAGGAGAAAAAAAAGGACTTTTGTGAAACATTTTCTGCGTGAGGTGTTTTTTTTTTCTTTTCTTGAGGCTTTAATATGTCAGACCAATAGTGGCGTGAATCAGAGAGGCGAGGTCTGGGTCGCCCTGCCTCTGAATAGTCAGACTGGCTCCATCCCTTCATATCTGCTTTTGTCACGGTTTTCAAATTCAAACCTGTCTTTTCGTAGCGTATTTTTTAGTTTTTTGCTTTGTTTTTGTTGTTATTCCAGGTTTTTAAAATGCAACAAAACAATGCAGAAACAGATTATTAAATCGCCTTGTCTTAATCCACCTACCTGTGAGTTTTATTAACAAGGGAGGCAACTTGTGGCAAACGGAGGCCCTAAACTATGAGCTCAGCCACAGGAGCCATCCACCTGAACAGGAACAATCGAGGAGACGTCAGATGCTCTGCTCCGTCGCATTTAAACTGCTGAGCATGAAAGTGAATTAGTCCAGCAGGAGGAAATAACAGGAGCTTGTGACATCAATGCGCTGGTGTGTGTGTGTGCAAGTGTGTTGGGGAGGACTTCATCAGCAGATTTGGTTGACTGACTGACTTATCTAGGCGTGACTGGGTGAAGTTCGCATGTGTGTACATGAATCTATCTGAAGAATGTGTGTGTGTGTTTGTGTGTGTAAAAGAGCGCTCATATTTAGTTTGTGACACTCACAAGGGCATAACTCATGATGGTGATGCATGTACTTGTGTATGTAGCCGTGAGAAAGTTGAGTTATATGTAAGTGTGCGTTTTTAGTCATGTAAGAGCCATTATGACAGAGCAGTGGTGTTTTGTTTTAATCATTATTCATCCTGAGATAAGCATTTCTTCATAGATTTATCCCCCTTCCCTCATCACTATCCTGTCAGCAGATTTAAAAGGTTTCACTTTATTTTTACATCGCTTTCCACCTTTTGATTGACCTCGGCGTCAAAAGCCTCGGATCTCATTGCACTTGATTTAACCAGTGGAATTTTATTTTTAGAGTAGTGCAAACCGGTCTAGCAGCGAGCGAGGCAGGGAGGGAGGGAGCAGGACGCTGTGGAAAAATCATTGTGTGACATCTCTGGAGAGCCGTCTTTGTTTTTACTGAGCGTCAGTGAAAGAGGGCATGTGTGTGTGAGACGGAGCTGTTGAGTAGTGAATTTTGAACAATAAATTACACACACACTGGTTTATCTCGAAAGGCCAGTAGGGATGTTACATCAATGAGCTCGTTATGAGATCCTTTTTTTGATAATTAGAGCAAACTGTCTAAATTTCGTCATATTTTACATTTTATGCTCCTAATAGGTTGGTAGGGCTATCTGCTAGGGTTGTCCCGATCCATCTTTTGAATTTCTGATTCAGTACTGCTATTGAAGCTTAAAAAATTGACCTGATACAATATTAGCATGAATCAGGCATGCTTTTATCACTTATTTTGGGCTGTAAAATGTTAGAAAAGGCAAAATATCCAATATCAGATCGGGACACCCCTACTATTGGCTGCTCCTATTTGTTTCTGTCAATGGAGTCTGTCAGTCTATCCTTAGCATGCGGACCAGCAGTGCACAGCAACAGGTGGGGGTAGGGCAGCGCTGTTACTTTTTCCTGATGCCGTATTCCAGGTTCTGTCACTTCTGACCCGCTTGTCTCGAGTCTAAGTTATTCTTCTAATTTATTCTCAAGACCAGAAACATTGGGAGACCTTTGGGGGTAAAAGATTTACTCTTATTAGATAATCTGATTTTTATTGCACTAAAATAAAACAGTAAAGAGGATCTCAAAGGGAAATGTGCTAATTTTAAATCTCTGGCCGATTTATTGATGTCATCCAGCTCACTGCCCCTAGCAGGCCTGTTCTGCAGTAAAAGGAGTCCATGCAGGTGCCTGGCCTGCTCATTCGGTCTTCCTGAAAACAGAACAGAGATGTTCTTCAGAGACTAAAGAATAGCAGTGAAACACGGAACACTCTAAAATGCAGACACGACAGAACGGAGCAAGAAATAATTAGGAAAATAAAAGAAGCTGCAGAGAACGAACTGACCCAAGGCGAAGCAGAAGATGTTCTGTTTTTTGGGGGGGGTTCAGCCACAACCTACTTTACTTCTTAGGGTTACATTTGCAGCTTCTTGACCAACCTCACTTTTATCTGCCAGTACCTTCTTGCTGCACCCATTACCATCACCCTTTCTGTTCTGCTTCTCTCTTCTGCTTCTGCATTCAGCTTTCAAACGAACTTGTGTGTTTGTTTTCCCATGAAACTGAAACACCCTTCAGCTCATTCAAGGCTGAAGCACACAGTTCATATACAGAACAGAAAATCACACATCTGCCTTACATTTCCTAGTTTCTGACACTGATAATCTGTAGATCTGTGACTCTGTTTTCAGTTACTGTTTTGTTTCTGCACGTGCTCATTAAGCAGCCACTACTTTCACTTCCTCTAATAGAGATGGTACTCGCCTTATGACTTAGCAAAAATGCGACTAATGAAAATAGTACGTCCAGTTACTATTTATAAATATTTTTATAGGAGTTGTTTGTAACATTTTGGAAAGTGACTCAGCCCGTGTCATCCTGACAGAAAAGGGTGTTTTTGTCTAAGTGCCTGTAACCTCAGTGGCCAGTATTTACAATTACAGGAAGGAAAACTTAATTCGTGTTTACTGCCTACATATAAAAACACAAGGTTTCACTGCTTCTGGTGCTCAGCTGGTTTAGATAGACAACATCTTTGACATTAGATCCACTTGTTTATTTCTGCTGTGTTCGTGTTGATCTACTCAGTTCTGATGCTATTAGCCACATATGGAGCAAAGTGTCTGTGATTGCATTCTTTGTCACAGCACGCCAGTTATGTGGTAAAAATGCCCCCCTTTTGATTTTTATATCCTTTTTTTTTTGCTTTTGCTATTCCGATAAAAAGAAATGGACAATCTTAAGTGTCAAAGTAAAAAATGTGGGTAAAACCATGTTTGAAATGAAAAGAAGGGGGCCAAGAACACAGCCTTGTTAAATACCGCTGGTTTCAGTTGCTAATGGAGGCTTAGCTGAGGTTGACACGTTTAACTCCAAATTTTATTTTGGGATCTCCTGATATATCATTTTTTTATCCGATACAATAGCGATATCACAGCTTCGGATATTGACCCCATACGATATCGGCATAAATGATACATTCTTGTATGATTTATTTTATAGTGATAAAGTAATTTTTTTAAAACAGAAAACAATAACATCAGATATGAGCAAAGTGTTATGAGCTTTTTTATTATCAAATATTATAGAGGTAGGGTGGTATATTACAATTTTTTTTTTTGCTTATATTGGATGGATTTCCAATATCATCGATTGGGATATCCGAACATTTTAGTATAAAATCAGTCAGGTCATCTTCATTATTCCTGCTGCAATTATAATAAAAAGACAATAAGACATTTGGCTTTTAAGAGAAAGGTTTGCTCAAATGTAGAAGTCTGGCAATAAAATTATTTCATGTAGTTTAGTTTGGTGTATCATTTAGAACCAGATTGATTTAATCTCCCTTTAGCTAGCTAGAAATACAAGCTGAGAGAAGAGGGTAGAGGAAGACTAGAGAGACACCTAAACCCACTAGGAAGGTAATAAGAGCTTCATTGGCTCACTTACCTAAGAGGTGATTCATTTACCTTAATTAAAAAAAACACCTTTTTTAAAATTTTAAAAGCTGTTTTTATTAGTTTTCTCATTTAGATTTTTGACCAAAAGCAAAATGATGATTAAAATTGTTTGTTTGTTTCTTGTTGTTCTTTTTGTTTAAAAGAAAAGTTCAAGGTGTGTGTGATCTGAGGGTCAAAGGATTATAAATGCATAGGGTAAAATGTCCTTGAATAAAAAGCGGATAGACATTTTTTTCACCTTTATTATTCAACAGTCGGTTTATTGACTTATTATTAATTCATATTTAAAAAACAATATTATATAAATAAAACCTGAAAACTGGCCTGCAGTTGTTGTCTTCCCCTTAGATCTAATATTTCCAAATAAAAATGTGTGCAACCCGTTGCCTGGAGGAGGATAATTAATAAAAGGAAGTTACCGGTATGTAATTGAATCTCTGTGCGGTTACAGCTGCTCTGTGAAGACCTCAGAGGGTTGATAGAGGGAACAAACAGCATTGTGCAGATCAAGGAACACAGCAGGTTTTGCTCTTGTCAAGTAACAAAATGTTGAAAAAGAGGTATAAATATTTGGGAGTCACAGTCTGCCTCCCAGCAATCATTAACAATCCATTTAGCTTCTCTTTGGAGCCATTAGCCTTGTGTGTTTTTCAGGACAGTTTTTCAGCTGTCTCTTCTCTCCTGATCTCCTGTTCCTGCTCTGTCACCCCGTGTGACTCACTCTGTTTGAGCAACTGAAGGTTCAGTGGCCTCACTCCAGGGCACATGGCATGCATTAACAGCCGCATGTTTGGTCACATGGAAGCTGATTGAAATATGAATCAGGGCCAATTAACAGCAAGGTCACAGAGGGTTGGTTGGTTTTTTTACACCCTAACTAACTTTAAACCTGTTTTTGTTTATTTTTTTATAGGGGCCGGGTGTTTCTGCTGGAATTTGCCACGATGCGAGTGTGCGACCTGGAGTTCGACTGCGTCCGACGGCTGACCACCCCCCCTTGCCCTCTCCCCGTTCCTACGGCTAACCCAAACTCTGCCCCGAGTTGTCACACGGTGTGGAAGTACTACTGCAGAGACAACTTTGGCTGGAGGGAGTACTCTGAGGTGCGTTTTCATGTGTTTGTGTTCCCTTTTTACCCACGGTCTGTGAACACAAGACCAGACAAATTTATCTTCCCTCGTACCCATCAATCCTAGCTGCTGTGATGGGATCAAATTTGAGTTTGGTTTTTATTTCACATTCACATCTGCTGGGGTTTAACCAGCAGTAAAGGAAACTGATTGGTCTCATTTCTGCTTTTTTTTTTTTTTACTTGCAGCCGGTAGTGAAGCTCATTGAGGAGGCAAGTTCGAGGGGTCTTAAGGAGGTCCGATTCATCACGCTGCAGAACCAGTATATCCTCAACATCAAGGAGGGCTTCCAGCAGAACGCCGTCTTCGGCTTCAGACGACAGATCAAGAAGCGACCCATGTTTATGTCGTCTGTGATCCTCACTCCACACCTCCAGTAAATATCGCCATTTACTACTGATCCAGTTGTTTCTGTTCAGGCTTAGCAGGCCAGATGAGCTTTGAAACAGAATAGAAACAGTCAGTCTGAGTTCAGAGTTCAGATTTCCCCGTGTCTGTCTTCAATGAATGCTGGACTTCACTCCATCGATTCAGTCTGTTTCCATGTATTTTGATTTCACTCCTTATGTCACTTTAAGTAGGTCAGTGTTCCATATAGAGCTGGGATTACACTGTTTATATGTCCAGACAGAGTTTATAAATGTTATTTCAAACAGAATTGATAAAGATGGTGATGCAGAGGGAAAACACTGTGGTTCATGTTACTAAAGATTTTATTAAACTGTCTCCATGCAGAATTTGGGAGCAGAGGGAGGATTAGACTTTCACTGGATGAATTTCTAGGCAGCAAGCTGTCCTTCTGGCTGTGGAAAATCAATTTGATTCTTTTTTTTTTTCTAGTTGCAGCCCTAATTAATCACTGGAGTGGGTTTTATTTAATTGTTTAAATTTTTCTTTTAAGCCAATCAGCATATTTGACTCATGGCTACCACCATCTTTGTGCCTACTTGACAAAATAAGCCCTCAGTGAATGTTGAAATTCCGCTTTTTGATTTGAGCTAAAATCTAAATGTGGGAAAGGTGACGCTGCAGCATTCGGTAACTGAAGAGAAATGTGGAAATATTTCCATGGAGAAAAAGCGCTAGTTTTGAAATAAGGGAGTTTTCTTTTGTGGGTATTAATGGTTCTAAGTCTCACGTCTCTAGTGTTCATCTGGTAAATGTGTCACAGAAAAGATCTATGCAGATAAAAACGGTTTTTGCTGCGGTTTAACGTTATGAAACTGGTGCTTATGAATGAAAAGGAAGGGTGGTCAGTCCTCAGCATGGAGGTGAAGCTTAATCACTTCATTGATTGCTTCCTGTCTGTTGTTTTTTCCTCACTTCTGCTTTCCATGGTGCTCTGTGGCAGGTCAGCCTGATCATTTATCTCTTACTCCTCGGTCTTGTCAGAGAACATCGAGCCTTTGAGGTTTTAGAGGAAAAAAAAAAAGAGATGTGGTGCCTGGCAGCACTGCTGTGTAATTCTCACTGTTGGCTTTCTAATGTGTAACACTCTGTCTCCTCCAGGCTCTCTGTGTTCCCCGGGCGTCCTAACTCTGTTTAGGCACACACAGGCCGGGACACAATGCCAATGTCTCAGTCAGGAATGAATGCTCAAAAGAGCTCTGAACGCCACGTCCATTTTCTTAATCCGTTGCGGAACGCGAGCTGAGAGAAGCGCTCCGATTTTTGGCGAGTCAGACATGGTCACTAGGACACCAGGAGCTGTCCTCTGCAGATGAAAGCACGCCAGGAGCAGACGAGACGGGAAACAAGATAATGAAGCAAATGAAAACAGATGAGCAGGAGTAGAGGAAGAGGGAGGCAGACAAAGAGAACTAATGCTCCCAGTGTTGTCAACCCTCTCTTGAAGGGACATTTTTCTCCACGTCTGTGCCTGCAGAGCTTCCCCTCTGCCTTACTCTGAGAACAAGTGATACTTGATTGGAAACAAGTGGATCCATTTTAGCCCATTTTGCAGATGCTTCTGGTTCAGAGCAGGTTTCTCAGAACACGCTGTGCCCGCCGGGGCCAGGACAGTCAGGAGAGAAAGAGCAGGAGCAAAGGGAAGCAGTCAGGCTGGCGAAGGCGTGAGCCAGACAGAAAGTGAAGAAGAAACAAGAGGCAAGGGAGGGTGAAAAGGGAGTGCAGCCGGGGAGGATCCAAATGGTTTCCAGACCCGAGCACAGGAGAGGCGTGTTGATGAGTGAAAGAGTGTAAAACGTTACTGCAGGGAGCTGGAATTCAGACCGAGGGCCCCATGGTTCAGCTGTTAGCTCCATTTGTACATCAATGAAACACACATGCAGAGGCTTCTCAGCTCTTTAGTTGAATTTTGTCATTTTAAGGATTACGGATTACAACTAATGGAAACCCTACTCTCAGAATATTATCTCATAGACCTAAAAATGTCTGTATAACGGAGAGCAGATGGAATAGGATGCTCTATTTTGTGAAGAACAAAAATATAATTTATAATGAAGCTGACTCTGTCAATGGAGTAGGCAAGTAATGAATGGAAAGTTAAGTGGAAGGAAAAAATGTCACAAAGCCCATTTAAGAGGTTCGTCCTGTGAAACAGTGAGTAGCATCTCACTGGGGCTAAGAACAAGGAGTACAAAGACGCTTGGAGGCGCCTGGTCTACATTTAGATAATAAGATTAGGTCTGCATGAGAAGTAAAGAGCGGTCCCCTGCTAGTGTTGGTCCAGTTTGTTTAAAATCTAGTGGCAGATCAGAAATCTTCCAGGAAATAGTGAAGCTTTTATGCATCACTATGCAAATAAGCTTTATGGAGATTTTATCCTCCAGCAGGACTTGGTGCTTGAATGACCATGGTTCTGCTGGGCCCCATTGGCTCACAGCTTGCTTATCCACAATGAAATAGTATGGCACCGGGAGAGAAAAAAAGAGAGCAAAAGACGCCATCATCTTCTTTGTGACCTAAACCCAGATTGCTCGCCCTTCTTTTACTTTCAGCTTCCCTCCCTTCCATTTCCGTCTATTCTCATCACTCCTCGTCTCTCTCTCTCCTTCGCTCTCATTCCTGCCTGGCTCCATCATTCTTTAGTTATCTGTCCCCTTACATTTCACACTTGTTTTCCGCAGCAGCCAGCCTGTGATCTCCTCAAAGCGCCCGGGGAATAGAGACATCGATTGCAGGGGAGGGAATGTAGGAGGTGGTGAATGTCTAAGACCGGACCGACAAGATAAGAGAGAGTGGGAGAAAAGAGACAAGAATAACTGTCACACTACCTCAGAGCCTCTTGATAACACACACACACACATAGTCGCTTTCGTATGGATGATAGAGCTAACGGCATTTACACTTGGAAGGTGATAACTTGACAGGAAAACTACTGTTACTGACTCAAATGCCAGAAATAGTGGAGGGTTTTTCTATTCTTTTTTTTTTTTTTTTTTTACTTCAACGACAGCTCCACAATTGGAGTTTTCTCCTTGTTTTCACTCTTTTGTTGCCATTCTTTTCCCCCTCTTCTCATCCTCTCTTGTTTGGTGTCTGGGCTTCATTTTCGCACAATCATGTTGTGTCGGTTGGTGTCAGACGGCGCCGCCCTGCAGTCAGAGTCGGGACAGGTTGGGATTTTTACCAGGCAGCAGATGGAGGGGTTTTATTGCCAAATGTATTTGATTGTAGCTGTCAGGCGATCGCAGACTGACTATAACGTACAGACATCAACTCTGCCTTTAGACTTTCAGAAATGGCTTCAAATGCGGTCCTCCTATGCAGCCGTTTCTCCTGCCGGAGTCATATTGTCCCGACACTGCTTTGACTTTCATTTCCGCTTAGACTAAAAGCTCTGGTAGCTGGATTATAGAGCACGCAGCTAATGCATTTGTTGCACCTAACGAAGCAGCTCCAGGATGAGGCAGAAGGCTTTTTAATAAGGAGCAGAACAGCAGACAGGAGTAATCATACCTGATCCTGGCTCTGTTGGTTTTTGTGTTGATACTCTGCTGGCAAATTTGCTGAGATTTAACATCCATGTTCATGGATAACAGAAGGAGAAACTTTAATAAGTTTTAGAAAATCTCTTTAGTCTCTTCTCATCTGAAATCAGGAACCAAATTACATACCAAGCTTTTTAAATATTCAGGCCACTTCAATTTTCTTTATTGGTTATTTCAGCTGCAAGATATATTACCTCTAACTTTACTTTATTGGAACTTTATGTGCACAAAGATGTGACTGGTTTTGAGTAAAAGTTTGAACCTTTGTCTGATACTTCCAATTAAAATAAAATGTAAATTAATAGAAGCTTTGAGTTTCTAAAAAAAAATTAAATTAAAACAGACATTTTATGTTGGAAATGAAACTCCCTCGCCATTTTTCACACTGTGGTGCATGTCAGTGGCTGCATCATGCTGTGGGGAAGATCTTATTTATCGGCGAGGGAAAAGCTGATTAGAGTTAATAGGTGGAGCTGAAAGTCAGCTCCACCCAGTCAAGTCAGTTCCTTGAACATGAAACTGCTGCAGTCAGGAAGGATGAAGTCTATTTTTTTTCAGAAACCTATTTAAAACTCACATGGTTTAGTTCCCGGTAAATGATTATGTATTCAGCTGTGTCGAAAGTAAAGCATGTGTTAAATATAGATTCAGCAAAATAGATTGAAATGTGTAAAGTTTCTGTTGTTTTTTGGCTTTTTGTCGACTCCTTTAGTCTAATTTAGATCTGATGCTGCAGAAATGTTTCACTGAGACTTGGATACTGTAGTGTTTGTGGAAGGTTTCTAGCTTCCTAGCTTATTCGTTTGGGGTTGAGTTGGTAATAAAAGCCACAGCATCCTGAATGGGCTGCAGGTAGTGAAAAGGTTGAGATTAGAATGGTCATAATTACCTAAAGTACCCTGGCTGTTAAAATGGAGTTTCATTGGTTTTTCATTTCTTCTTTTTTTTAGTCAAATGACCAACTCATTACTCAGTTGTTTATTCAAGATTAAACATAACAGCTGTTAGCTCGGTTAGTTGTAAAGCAGGTTAACAGAGATGCTCAAATGTTTCTAAATAAAGTTTTCTGCTCTCTTTGTTTTTTCAACTAAAACAAAACTTGAAATTTAATCGACTCCTCTCTCTTTTTAGGACTTTGGGCGCCCTTTCTTTACCCGCTCTCCCCTCCTCGTCGGCAACTGCATCCACGCCCATGGACGTCTCCGCGTCTCACCCCCTCTCTCCGACCTCCACCAACCCGCCAAGCCTTTTCCCAGAGACATGGCTGCCAATGACCATGAGCCAGGATTTCTTGCGGGTCCCTGTGTCCCGCGAAGACCGCAGCTACAGGACGGTGTACAGCCTGTTCCACAAGACGGTGTCGGAAACCAAGTTCAGGATCATCAAGATCCAGCGGGTCCAGAACCCCTTCCTCTGGGAGAAATATAAGAGGTGAGGAAGCTGGAAAAACCTTCAGTAACAACTGAACTTATCATTGTTCCTGTGTGGAAACAGCACTTAGCTTTAGAAATGTTTCACTGTTGACTAGTTTCACCACAGATATAGATATATCCAATGAGGCCTTCCACCAAACAGCTCGATTTAAACTGAAGCTGCTGAATTTACTTTAAGGGTCTCGTTGTAAAGAGGGCTTTGGTTTTCCAGTCTAAAATTTTCTATCAAACATACAACTGTCTGCTAAAGAAACCTAGAAGCTTACCTCTAAAAAAAACATAAAGGACTCTCAGATGCCAAACTGTTTGCCATCGTATGAAACAATGCAATGAAAAATCAGGTCATAATCAGATCTTAATCGAGATTAGAGACGAATCTTAGAGAAAAATAGGCCAAATGGCACCAGCTGTGTGGGACTTCGTGAGAACGAGCCGACAGGAGTGTGAGAACTCAGCAGATGTGGAGATGTTTGGTGATGATGGTGTTCCTGTTGTGAAGGCAGCGGGCTAACCGCTGTGGTCGGAGCAGGCCCTCTTCTATCAGCTGTGACAGTTAAACCCTCCTACACCGGCGGCTGGTTTCACAATGACTGCCGGTGCGTGTTACTGTGCGTCTACCTCGGCAACTCACCTCAGAAAGTGATGCCCCCTCACCGGTTCTCTGTTGATTTCCTTTTCCCACAGTCTGGCTCCTGCACTGAAACCATAACTTCTCGTTTGTGCGAGTTCATCTGCATGCGATGGCTGAGCTCTGCAAACTACACAGGGGGTAGTGAGGAAGCCAGGAGCGTGCGAGCGAGCAGCGCTTTGCGTGCAGTGTCATGTCGCAAGATGTGGCATTGTGTGAGTTCACGTGTGGGTCACAGCCTTGGTGACTCGACTCGCTTTCTTCTCGGCGTTTCCTATTGATCTGCTTCTGTCAGAGGCGGCGTGTGCGTGCAGTACGCCGCGAAGGAAGATGAGCTGCAGTGTGTTTTTGTAGATTCAGGATCAATAGAAATAAAACCTCTTTTTTTAAGGCTTTTAAACAGATGCATTTCAATGAAGAAGGTTCAATTCAATATGGTCAAATAAAAGTACTTTCAAATGAATTATAGAAGAAAGTAAAAGTGGTACCCTACTCCTGTTTATTTTTATGATCATGACTCTGAGCGAAATTCAGTTTGTTACAAAATAAGACTAGTTAAAGACGTATAGTTGTGTCCGGTGTCAGAATCATTTAAAGAATGTTATCTGTTTCTGATGCATGTTTTTCTATCCCGGTTTGTCCTTCTAGTAAACTTTTCAAACTGACTTCATTATAACTTTTTGAGACTTCAATGTTGAGGGTGTCAATGATCAAAGTGTTAAACTGTCTCCATCACTCTGTAGCCATAATATGACACTTTTTTTTATAAACACAGAACATATATCGGTAAAAAGTTAAACATTTCTATAAATACGAATAATATAAAAAAAGCAGTTTCTATGGTGTTCTAAGAAGCCATAAAGTACCTCAACATCTGAAGTGTCTGCCTCTTTGTGCTCCAACAGGAAGAAGGAGTACATGTCACGCCGCATGTCAGAGATGGACCGGCTGCTGAGCGAGCGCCACCTCTTCCACGGCACCTCGGCCGACGTGGTGGAGGGCATCTGCAAGCACAACTTTGACCCGCGGGTCTGCGGCAAGCACGCCACCATGTTTGGCCAGGGCTCCTACTTCGCTCGCAGGGCCTTCTACTCCCACAACTTCTCCAAGCGCTCACCCAAAGGCATCCACTGCATGTTTCTGGCTAAAGTTCTCACTGGCAGGTGTGTATTTGTGTGCTCCTCCAGACAAGATGGCTTTCATTTCCAAAAAGGCACCACTTTCTGCTAACAAGTGGTATTCATTTTTTCATTTTCTACTTTTCTACCAAACGTTGCTTTGAAGAGAGCTGCATATGTGATCGTTTATTAAATGCTAAATCAGGGCCTTATGTCTGCAGGGTTACATGGTTTATTGTCCTTAATGAGCAGCTCGGTGTGTTTGACAAGTCGGTTCCCTTCAGGACAAACCTCTTTCCAAACAAGTTTGCTTTTTTTGACCCCAGCTCTTCCCCCACGTGCTCAGCTCTTACATTTACAGAACGCATCAACATTAATTTGGATCAGGAAAATCCTGAGGTTCTTTTCCATAAACCATCTTTCAGCCGAGCCGCGCTACTCCCCTTCCTTCAAACAAAAGTCAAATCCGCAGGCGCACATGTAAAACAGCTGATTTGGCTGGGCCCATCATAGATCACCACCTCTGTTATGCCGAGGCAGACAGTCCTCGGTGTGGCTCATGCAGTGGTTTGGAAGAAGCCCCCTCCTTCCTTCCTTCCTTCCTTCCTTCCTTCTTGAATTAAACACACTTTTACTCTAAGCCTGCTTTTATTCTGTTTCACATAACAGGCAGAGACTTTGGCTTCATACTGAGTAGTATTTTAGACGTTAAATCTTTGCTGTAGGACAAATACGTTGTAAAAAAAAGATAAAACTGAAAAGTTTTTTTTTTAATTCTGATCAGTTTTTAATAAAAGCTGTTTCTAATACAAGAAGTTGAAATGCATTGCTTTATTTCAGGCAGATTATCAAAAGGGAAAACATTGATTTTTACAAATTTTGCTTCTTGGTTCTGTTATACGTCTTAATTCCTGTTGAAAAAGTGAGACTGATAGCAGATTTTACATAAGATCGATTAATTATAAAAAGAAATTCTTCAAAATATTGTAAGGCTAGCCAAAGTACTGTTTTCTGTTATTCCATTTGTGGGTCACTGAAAATATTTAGGCTCTCTTGCTTATAATAATCACTGTTAGAAATGTGCGGGGAGTAGAAAAGCAGTTATTGATTTAGACAAAACGATAATGAAAGAGAAAACATTCTAAAAACTCAGAAAAAACAACTACTGTTGGCTCCATGGTCTGGCTGTTGACTCTGTAGGAAGTTTCTGTCACAGCTTTGGGTTAATCCTTCTTTATAAACCAAGTTCCTAATTTTTTATCATCTTATGACCAAAATGGTTTCAGTTAACTGGGTTATAAAAATCCTTCCTCTTGGGTAGTTCCTTTCATAAACCTAATCTGTGTTTTGTGTACAGCTGCAGGCAGCAATGCTCTCCTGTTACATGCATTACGTTTAGTCAAATTATGTTTCATTTAGGTTTAACTTCCAGGTTCTTGTATTTTTTGGCTTTAAAGATCATGTAGTGTAAAGTTAGATTGAGAAAAGCCTTGTTTTATGAGGTGAATGTTTGCTTTCTAACTATTTAGAATATGCCTTTACTGGTGCCTTTTCTTTCTCTGGTTTTTGCAGGGTTCATGTAGCACAGCTAATGTTTTCTCTGTCTTGGTTTGTTTTGTCCCTTCAGGTACACCGTAGGAAACTCCTCCATGCGCAGGCCTCCCCCCATCAATCCCCGGGACCCCTCCAGTGACCTTTATGACTCCTGTGTGGACAACTGGGTGGACCCCCAGATTTATGTCATTTTCAACGACGACCAGAGTTACCCTTATTTTATCATTCACTACGAGGAGGTACCCAACACAGTCGCCATTTAAGTCCTGCATCAGAACCTTTGGTGTCTGTACCTGCCAAAGCTTGGATTCGCGGTCTGCACGTTTTCCGTTAAGGTGACGGATGGACTGGGGTTATTACTACGTTATAAAAGGACCCATTAAAACCAAAACGGTCCAACCCTCCCCTCCGGAGTGACACGGTCCCACACCCCCCATCTCAAAACATCTGGAGAGCAGACTAAGAGAAGCTTGCAGAGGTCGGGCAATTCAGGACGATTGTCAACTGGATTCAGTCGAACTGGACTGCGTTAGACCAGATCGAAGTGGACCGAACTGGATTAGCAGAGGACAGCCGGCGTCTGTGTTCAGACTGAGTGGACTTACCGCTACTAATGAATCAGGATCCCATGGATGTTCATTGCTGAGCCAAAGCAGAGTTGATTTGTTTTTCTTGCTTTGGAGCAGATGCAGAATAGAAGAACTTTTCCATTATTATTTAGGCTTAATGTGTACGTGAACTTGTTCAGAGGACAAAACACTGTCGGAGACGGTTAATATCCTGCCTGTACTGTGAATGACCAGCTAGTGAAATTCTGACGTTAAAAATCGGAACTCAGCCAATCAGAGGCCTCCGTAGAGAAACCATAGATACTTTCATCCAGCCTCCTACCCATACATGTTTTATTTAAACTCTGTGCTGCGTGTTTGAACCTCTTAAGCTAGTGGACATTGATCTTGTGGCCTATTCATCCTGACAATGGAGATGAGTTTCACTGTAAACCTCCTGGAAGAGGATTCCCATCAAGCTGCTCCCAGTCACCCCCCCCTGCTGCACTCTGGTCCCTGTCTGCAGGTTGACTGCAGGGTGATGCCTGGACTCTAAGCTGCTGCAGTTGGGCTGTGCTGTAGCTTTCTGTCATCAAATCAGCTAAAGCTCATCTCTCTTAGACCGCTCTCTTTCTCAGAGACAGTAGACAATTTTATGTTTTATTTCTTTTTGAAACAAACTGTACAGCTGTTCCTTTTGTTTATATTTGAACTGTGTGCCTTTTGTTCATAAAAAATGTTTATTTATGTTAGTTTAATGTAACATTGATTAAATAAAGAAATTAAAAGAGAAAACGATCCAATAGCAAACCTGTGCTTTGTTCGGATCACGCTGATGGAGATGACCATTGTTTACCTTGTTTCAAATGACCATTTTGAAAGCTCCTCTTTCAGCATTAATTAGAAAACGTTTGATTGAAACCTGAAGATGAAAAGTGAGGATGTCTTCATAAAGAGGATTAGATCAACCAATTTTTGAGCATAGTTACGTTTGCATTTTTAGAAAAAAGCTAAAGAAACACTTTACATTAATATTTACACAAACAACAAAGAAACAAATACAGAAAGGGAGAAAAAATTTTACAAACTCTTTTCTGTGTTCTTTTCAAACTTTGTTTAGTGCAAAAGCTAGAAATGCTGGACGGTCTTATACCCACATTTCTGAGAGCTGCATCATAAATGGTGTTAAACTGAGCTAACCAACCTCCGGTAACTGGGAGTTTGATCAAGCACAGGATGACTTAACCAGGCTCCACCATTCCTCTTTATTTGTTCCAGAAACGGAGTGTTGGATGTAGGGCTGAAACAATTAATTGATGAATCAATCATTGAAATAATAATCAACGTATTTATTAATCGATTAATCATTAACTGAGTATAGAGACTCTGAAACATTCCTTTCGCTGACAGAGCGACCCATTTAGAGCAGTAATTATAAGAAAATTGTGAGAAGAAAAAAAACATTTTGTATTTAAGAAAAAAAAAAAAAAAAAAGGTCAATATGCTCTATTCAGAACTCCTCAAGTGGAAAATATCTTGTTTCACCTGGTTTAATTTCGTAAAAATCTTCTTTAAGGAACCTTGGGCTATCTGATTATTACAGGGTTTCCGTGTGTCATTAAAAATCATTAATAGTCATTAAATTATTATTTTTTAAATTAAGGCCTTAATTGGATTTAAAATTAAATGTGAATATAGTGGCATTTAAAATGCTTTATTAAAAAAAAAAAAGTTTATACAACCAATTTTGTCAAATATATCCGGTATAAATCTGGTTAACGCGTGTTTGTGCAGAACTGCTTCCAGTTGATCGTAAAGCCGTATGTTCGGAAAAGAAGCACGAGGCGGAGAAAAAGCTAGAGAATGAGAAAATGCAAATTTCAACAAAAGTGGCTGGAAAACAAGGAAAATGACGAAGGATTTTGCCATGTTTGTTATGTATATATATATATATATATATATATATATACACACACACACACACACGAGAGTCATGGGTACTTGTTGATGTCCTTAAAATTATTTCTAAGAGCATTAAAAGAGCATTAAATTAGAGTTACTCATTACCGTATAAACCCTGTATTAATCAATTAATCCAAAAAAGGAAAAAATCAACAGATTAATTGATTTGCAAAATAATAATTAGTTTCATTCATAGTTTTATGTTGCATCACTATGTTTCTATTCAAGGACTGAGGTAGCCACTCCATACGAGATTCTGCTCACTCTATCACTATTTTATTATATGACTTCTTCAGGTATAGGTTGCGGTCACCATCCCCATGATATGATCCTGCCTTCAGATTCTTCCCTAACTTTAATATTTCTGTTAGAAACTACCTGCAGTCCCTCAGCCCAGAAATGAGTCCTATCTACCCCTAAATGTTGCACTCTTTCTCTTCAGGCCGTCGTCGTGTTCAGCCTTGATTGCTTTTCATTTGCTGAAGTTTCTTTCTGCTGATTTTTGGCCTCACATGGATTTCCTCTAATGGTTACAGTGCTCTCAGGTGTCCGTGCTCCTTCACCTTGGCTGCTTTAATTTTCCTTTGTATTGCATTTGGCATTCCCCTCCTAACCTCCCAGACTAAACTCATAACAATGGTAAAAATGTAAAATTGAATAAACGCTTCATCTACATAAAATTGGAAGCATTCATGCCCTAACCTACACCTACTGCTAAATGATAATGAACAAATCTGTTGGAAACAAAAAAAAAATACTTTTATTGTTTAGTTGATGTGGTTTATTTTATTTGTTCTCAGTCAAGAATAGAAACATTCAGTCAAAGCTGCAGGATCACGAGGAGCTGATATTAATTATGAAATCTAATGTTTACCCGATCAGTGTCCTCGTATTTAGGCTCATTGGTGATTGTTTCCTAGCAGCAGAATCAATCAGCCCTGATGTTGTGTGCAGGAAGCACACTCAGGAACCTTCAGCTGATGAAGTCAAGGATGTGAAAAGAACCATTTCACATCACTTTAAGCGGACATCATCAAGCAGATTGCAGGCTAGAAGGTGCAAAGTAGTTAAGCAAGAAAGTTAGCTGAATATAGATCCACAACATGCAAATAGCGCATGGTGTTTTTTTCAGAAACAGCCATATGTTTTCACAAACAAATGTGGGGGAAAAATCCTCTGATATGTTTCTTTATGCACAGATATGTTTGACTTTGCATTAGATTGTTAATGTTAGGCTATGTGTATCAGGTTTATCTTGATCAGGTGGAGTACGGCTGTTTCTTCCTGTTAGAACAGTCAGGTGGCTCCCAGTTTGATTCCAATCTAGTCTCATTTGGCAGGACTGAAAATGGAACAATGGGCGTACTGACTGGTACCTCCGCTCCCACAGAAAGGTCATCTAAGCATTTATTATTGGTCCAGAATGAAAAAAGGAAGGTTACCATGTCTCCATGGTCTGCCACGTCGCCCACGCTTACCTCTTCTTCTGATGGGCTGCAGAGGGGGGCAGTCTGGATCTAACAGAGCTACTTCACACCCATCATAGCTTTCATCTCATATGCTAAATAAACCTCCTCATCTGAGATCTTCATCTGGTTGAAGACTCTTTTGAGGACTGAGCTGCTTTCCTTTTTATTTTTTTCAATATATTTCTCAAACATGGGCTCTGATAAAATAAAACGCAGGCAATATTAAAACATTAGCCTAGTCTTAAAAGGGACGCTCATGTTTACAAAAATCTGAAAACAAAATAAATTAGTTAACAAAAAAACAATTATGGCTCCAAAATCAATCTAATGTGCTGTCAGCTCCAAATGAAGCTTTGTTGTTTATAAGCTACAGTTCCTGTACATGCACTCACTCAATCTGCATGAACGTTGCCTACGTATGGAACTTTAATTAACCTTCAGGTGGATTGGTTATGCAAAATCCATAATTCTTAAACCAAGACTTTGTCTGAAAGGTTTAACTATTTGGATTTTAACTTTTAATGACCCCCATTATTACCCAAAATACTGTCCCTTCACTAGAGCTGCATGTCTGACCACTTTGTTTCAGAAAAGAAAGAGCTCTTTTAAACTAAAGTGTTTCTTGGTATAGTTCCCATTTACAGTACATCAAATTTAAACAGGCTTGAGGCTGGGGTCATTCCAGCAGCTTGTAATTAGCCAAATTTATCCATTTTATGGTCATTTTTGGCGTGTGGTTGGATTTATTGTCTTGCTGGAAAGCTCCAAGTTTAAACCGCCTGGCATCTGATCAAAGGAAAGCTACTACTCCTTTATTACTTCATCCCCTTAACAACAAAAAATAGCCCTATATGAATTTAAACATATGAATTTAAAACAGACCCTCAGCATGATCCTACCTCCACCATGCTGAACAGCTGCCTCACCATAACTCCTTAAAATGTATTGTCATTGTGTCTCCGCTGACCATAAGAAGTTTTCTTACCTAAAGGTTTAATTTAAATCCGCAAAGATGAATGACATTAATACCTCTGACTGTAACTTATATCACGTTTCTGTATTTTGTTCAATGGTTTAAAACCATTTATTGACCGGCCTCCTCTCCTGCCAGTGTGCGACATCCTGGTATCCACTCCATCCATCTGTTCTCTTATATGACGGTTCCTGATTTGGAGACTTTTGAAGCAGAATCAATAAAGAGAGACATGAGACGAACTCCCATAAGGTCTTTTTAAAATCATCAATGATCCATGTTCTCAAATTAATAGGAGGAAGCTGGAAACAACAAATTCTACACAAGAGGTTTTGCAGAGAAGATCTGAACTGGAGAGCTGTGAGGCTGTCGAAGCAGCCTTGTATCTACTCTGAACATCCACTGCACACCTTTTAGACAGATTTTATTTTGTACACACAAGTGTAAACAAAAATAAATTTTGTTAAGTACAGTTTTCTAGACTATTTTTGTTTTAAAGTGCAGCATTGATAAAAACACTGTGATGAAAAAGTGATGTAAACATATGTCTGCATAGTTACAGTTCCAACATTCAGTTTTTTTTTTTTTTATGTCCTACACTGAAAAAACTGAATCAGTTTTAAGAAAAACTGACTTCTTTCCTAAACCACCACCTCTTTCATGTATTAATTCTCACCATTTCTTAGTGTCCATCTTGGCTTTTTCATTCTCCTTTAAATCGTTTTACTCCTGTTATTCATTTGGTCCATAAATGTGCTGCTCTGTGTTAAGGTCTCCTAGCGTGTAGCGTGAGCTTTGTTCTGACAGATGAGAGGAGGAGTTACTGTCTCCTCTTCGTGCCTCCTCTCTGAGCTGCGTGCCTTTCTGCTTGTCTCGTGTGCATGCAAGATTGCACAGGTTGTCCTATGTTTACCCCTCCTATCTCTGTTTCGCTTTCCGTCTCTCCATGTGCCTCCCTCTCCTAATCTCTCTTACAGCCTCACCTGCTCCTTGTACTTTCCTTTATTAGCCTTCTTTTCCAATTTACACCCCCAGTCTGTCTACTAACTATCCTGAACCTTCTCTTTCCTCCCACTTTAATGATTCGACCCCTTCCCTTTCTCACAATAGGCGTCCATCTGATGGTGAGTCATCCAGCTGCTGCTGGCTGGGTTTGTTTGCCTGACTGCCCTCCAGGAATTGCCGCTGACATGGCGACAGCACTG